TCCCTGTGCTTCTGTGTGTCACGCCACACCATCTAGTAATGCTCCCCTCCCAGGTTCTAGCTGGGTATTACAAACAAACTCAAGACTCAGGTTGTTCCATTCATATGGCAATGAAATATAAACCAACAAAATGAGCAGCGACATTGTAGTTAAAGCCTCACAATCTCTAATCCATGAAAACAGGTTTCTAGAGTGAGAGGAGAAATGGCTAACTCATACACCAAGCTCGGAACTTATTTCTTTGTTTTGTGTTGTTTTCCAATACTATTCCTCAACCTTGCAATAACCCTGTCAAGTAATTTCCTACCACACCTTCCCCTAAGTGAAAAATAAATATGGTAATAGAAGCAACCACAAACACAGGTTACATTGAAAAAATGTCCCATTTCCCCAGTCAACTGAGCTGGAATAAAACCATTATTAGGACATAAGTGGGAGAGGACCCTTGATTTTTCAAGGTAAAATCATCATTTTCATGTAAACATAAAATGAATACAGGCAAAGATTTTATTTAACTCGTTTGTAACAGTGGAAACTAGCCAGATGTTAAAATCAGCTCAAAAATGAATTTAAAGAATAGACATTGACGGAGCCAGTCAGGAGAGCTGAAATGAATTTATAAACAGATGTTAAATTGGCTAATATCCAATGGGGAGATAAAAGGCAGTGTTTGGGGTTGTCTTTTCAGTAGTGTAGATATCAGTTACATGTATTGGATAAAATTCATTTGCTTTGCTAAGGATAAGAATCATTTCCATTATCAGTTTTCTGCAACTTGACTTCCACCCGAAAGAGTTATAAAACAGCCTAGTCAACAAAGAGGTAATATCCTACACTCCTATAAAATAGGTCCCCAGAAATCTGGCTCGACCCACACTGCTCAATTGCATGGCCACTAGCCACATGTGGACAGGGCTGGTGCAGAACATCCCCATAGAAAGTTCTACTGAACAACACCGTACTACCGGATGACTGGTGCTCAACTGAAAGGCTGCCCAGTGCTCTCTGTTGTCCATTTCCAAATCTTTGACAATTTTTTTTCTGACAAAAGAAAATAAGCAACAACAATAGTGATATGGAGCAGGGTATATAAGGGAGTAATAGCTAGTATTTACTGAGTACCAGCTGTATGCCAGGAATTGTATAAGCCCATTTGTATATATTATCTAATTGGGTTTTCACCATTTATATATATTACCTAATCCAGTCCTTATAATAGTTTAACCTCACGTATGATTTGAGGTAACAAACTCTAAGAGTTTAAATACTTTGAGTCCTCAAAATTTGCATATATTATCTGATGAGTCCTCATAATAACTTAACCTCACTTACTAGATGATCCAGAGACTCAAGCAGATTAGAAAGATCTGCTTGAGACCATACATACAACTATTAAGTGGTTGAACCAGGATTCGATATCACATTTGTGTAACTCTTTAGTCTTGCTTGTTTCATGGGACCAGATTGACCAGTCTATGTGTCTTGAAAGAGAAGTAAGGGTAGTAGATGCAGGTAAACACAGAGTACAGATAAAAAGTACAACCATAAAGAGACATCCAAGAAATCTGACCTGCCCACATTGACTTAGGCCACTTTGTCTCAGTAGAGGAAAACATGGTGGCCTGTCTGCTGAAGGAAGAAAAGAGAAGTGTTTGCTCCAGCCTGCTCTGTGTCCAAGGATGTCACTGAGTCCATGCCAGAGCACGTTGTGTTCACGCATAGCACTAACTAACATTGCGGCATGTTCGTCACGGACTGTCCATCTCCCCAGTTAGAACTTCCATTACGGACAGCCACATGCAGAAGAATGAAACTCAACCATTCTCTAACATCATTCACAAAGATAAATTCAAAGTGGTTGAAAGACCTCAATGTGAGAC